GAGAATACCAGGAAGTAGTCTAAATGAACAGGCACATGCAAATGACCTGCTACGGATGTGCGACAGATTTGCCTTAAACCAGCAAATAGTAGAACCAACTAGGAAGGAGAACACGCTGGACCTCATTTTCACTAATAATGATGAATTGATCAGGAACATAATGATTACAAATACCTGTTACTCAGATCACAACTTAATTTAAGTTCGGACAAGCATGAGGGAATAGACCTGCAAAACCAGTTTCGAATCCCAGTGAAGGAGAATTCGGCAAATTCAACTTCAATAATAAACAGATAAACTGGGATCAAATAAACCAAGACTTCGCATAAATAAGCTGGGAAGAACAGCTAGAAAATGCAAACCTGAACCAGTTACTGGAAAAGATAAGCTCAGTAGCACTAGAAATATGTTCAAACCGCATACCCCTAAGAAAAAAAGAGAAAGAGATGCAGATTGGAACGGGAACGTCGTTCCCTATATAGGCGAAGAAAACGAATCACGGAACAACTTGAGAGTCGCACCCTATCTCAAGAACGACAAAAGGTTAGGTAGAGAAATATAAATGATTGAACTAAAGCTACAAAATTCATAAAAAAAAACAGGAGAGGCATAGTGAGCAAAAGGCCATTAGTGAAATAGAGAGAAATCCAAAATATTTATCCTATGCAAAATCAAGATAAAAAAATCACATCTACTATCGGGCCCCTGCGAAAGGGAGATGGAACGTTCACTGACGATAACAAAGAAATGAGCTAAATACTGAGGAATCAATAAGACTCTGTTCTCAGTGAGCCACTAAACACATTAAAGATTGTTAATCCAAATGAATTTTTCATGGATATGATACCAACATCAAATTATATATCAGATGTCACCCTATCACCACTGGATTTTGAAGAAGCCATAGACAGTATGCCCATGCACTCTGCACCAGGCCCTGATTCTTGGAACTCCATATTCATCAAGAACTATAAAAAACCACTATCGCAGGCCCTTTACTTTCTTTAAAGACAGAGCCTAGATACTGGCGTTATCCCTGACATACTAAAAACAGCAGAGATAGCACCACTCCATAAAGGAGGAAATACGGCAGAGACAAAAAATTACAGACCAATAGCACTAACATCGCACATCATAAAAATCTTTGAAGTAGTGGCTAAGAAGAAAGATCATGAAATACATGGAATCACAGCATCTCCATAACCCTGGACAACATAGTTTCAGAACAGGGCGCTCTTGCCTGTCACAGTTGCTGAACTATGATATAGCATTAGATGCCGTGGAAGACAAACAAAACGCTGATATAATTTTCAGAGATTTCGCAAAACCCTTTTTCGCAAAAGAAGAGCTCAGTCCCCCAGGGTACTGTGCTTGCCCCAGTACTTTTCCTCATCCTCATATCGGACATAGACAAGGACACAATCTATAGTACTCTATCATCCTTTGTAGATGACACTAGGATTTTTATGAGAGTAGACAACATAGAGGACACGGCAAACCTCCAATCAGATGTAACTCAGGTCTTTCTATGGGCTACAGAAAATAATATGGTGTTTAACGAAGATAAGTTCCAGCTCATGCGCTACGGAAAAAAAAGGAAAATATAAAAACGGAACCACGTACAGAACTCAGTCAAATCATAACATAGAACGAAAAGGCCATGTCAACTTTTTGGGTGTACTCATGTCGGAAGATCTTACCTTTAAAGAACACAATAAAGTAGCCGTAACATCTGTAAGAAAAATGACAGGTTGGATAACAAGAACCTTTCACACTAGAGATGCTATACCGATGATGATTCTCTTCAAGACGCTAGTGCTCTCTACTGTGGAATACTGTTGCACAGTGACAGCCCCTTTCAAAGCTGGAGAAATTGCTGACCTGGAGAGCGTGCAGAGATCCTTTACTGCTAGAATCCACTCAGTAAAACTTCTAAACCATTGGGACCGACTAAAATGCCGAAATCTGTATTCTCTTGAGCACAGGCGGGAGAGATACCTAATAATAATTTATTAGTGGAAAATATTAGAGGGGCTGGTCCCAAACCTGCACACAGCAATAACAGCACATGAGGCCTTAAGGCATGGCAGGATGTGCAGAATACCCCCGTTCAAGAGCAGAGGTGCAACAGGTACTCTGAGAGAGAACTCTATCAACATCAGAGGCCCGAGACTGTTCAACACGCTTCCGCTACACATAAGGGGCATAAGTGGCAAACCCCTCACAGTGTTCAAGAGAGAACTTGATAAGCACCTCCGAAAAATACCTGATCAACCAGGCCATGACTCATACGTCAAGCTTCGAACAGTTGCTTTCAACAGCCTGGTTGACCAGTCCAGCAACGAGGAAGCCTGGTCGATGACCGGGCCGCGGGAACGCTAAGCCCCGAAATCATCTCAAGGAAACCTCAAGGTAAGGTGGGAAGCGTGTGAATATTTCAACCTATCTTCCAACTCAAGCAATGAGTCAAATACTGACCTAGCTCTTACTGAGTCAGTATTAGACTCGACGAAAACCATTATTTAATCAAATAAAACCAAATATACCAATATTTATATATTATATAAATAACATGCATAATGGTACGTGGCGTGAGTGAGTGAGGAGGCGAGGCGTGTGAGCCAGGCCAGGGGTCGTTACGGTACAGGTCACCAACAATATGTATCCCCGTTAAGGACTATTGGCTGGGGTGAGTCTGGAGGCTGGAGGAGACGGCGGCAGCCTGCAGGAAATACTCTGCAGTTGGTGTGACACGGTGCCAGCCGGGCCGACGTCTTGGCGCTATAACCCGTAAAACTCGGCCCGAGGGAGTTATGGGCCAAGTGGGCCGGGTCGAGCCGTAACTGCTCATTGCATTTTTATATATTACACGTGAAGGCGTCTTGCGTACACTTCTCTCCTTTGGGGGGAATGTTAGGTCAGGGTGCGACAGATTTCCTGGGCGGAGAAACAACCGACTTGATTGGGGGAAGAGAGGTTCGCACTTGTAAGCGATGCTCCCATTGGTGGTTTTTATTATTATTATTATTATTTTCTACCACAGACGTGGCCACACATTTACAATGCTAACCAGCATATATACATTTTCTTCTGTCTTCCATGGACAGGGTTAGAGATTTGTTAAACATATAGTTCAGGAGTTTATTGATCAACAACAGAAGGTGATTGTATGGCGTAGATGCGTCCCAGCCCACCACCTCCTCCACAATTCAAGAAGCATTTACGCAACTTATGAAACCTGTACATCTTTTCTCAATCATGGCACCTTTGTTTACATTTATTGAACAGATTATTAGTTCCGAAACACTACGACATTGTTGATAAAGAAAAATGATCTTGAATTGTGGTTTTGAAATTTGTAAACTGTTGATCACTATCTATTGATTACTACAAACTGTTGATCACTACACTACCTACTCATAGAATTCTACATTTAATGTAAACAATGCCGCCATGATTGAGGAAAGATGTAGAGGTTTCGTAAGTGGTTGTATAAACACACTATGAATCTTGACCCTGGTGTTCTTAGCCAGATCTTTCGCCCTTCCCTATATAAATGAGCAGTCCGAAGAGTCATCCCTGCCATCCATGCTGGTGGTGTGTTACAAAGCCCCTTCTCTCCAGATGTGCTACCAGCCTTTTTCTCATTATCTCTATCACCTTGCATGGTATACTAATTAAGAACACCGGCCTGTAGTTTAGGGCCTCCTGCCTATCCCCCCTTTTGTATATTGGGACTTCATTAGCTGTCTTCCAATTCTGTGGTAGGTCTTCTGTTTCCAGTGACTTGTTATACACCATAGATATTGGCATGCAAAGAGCTTTTGCCCCCTATTTTAGCATCCATGGTGAGATTCCATCAGGTCCAACAGCCTTAGTCCCATCTTGATCGAGCAATTACCTCCTAACCTCATCTCTGATAATTTCAATATCTTCCAATGGTGCTTGATTTATCACCACCCCTCTTAGTTCAGGAACTTCTCCCCGCTCTGTTGTGAAGACCTCCTGGAATCTCTTGTTGAGTTCTTCACACACCTCTTTGTCATTGTCTGTGTATCCATCCTCTCCATTTTTCAGCTTCATCACCTGTTCTTTCACTCATGTTTTCCTCCTGATGTGGATGTATAGCAGTTTTGTTTGGATCCTGGCTTTGTTTGCTATGTCATTTTCAAACTACTTCTCTGTTTCTTTCCTCACACTGAGGTACCCATTTCTGGTCCTCTGTTATCTCTTTCTGCTCTCTGGTATCCTGGTGTTTCTGTAGCTTCTGCACGCCCTTGTTTCGGCCTGATTAAAGCCGTTGTCAACACCAGACATGTGTTCAGTCTGGTGTTGACATCGGCTTTAATCAGGCCGAAACGTTCATCTTCCTTTCACATTTCTCTGGATTTTCCGCATAAAAATGACCAGTGTTTCGTGATCGTCAATTGCATGTGTATATATATATATATATATATATATATATATATATATATATATATATATATATATATATATATATATATATATATATATATATATATATATATATATATATACCTGGGGACCATTCAGGCTTGTTCGCATATATATATATATATATATATATATATATATATATATATATATATATATATATATAATATTTTATATGTAATTTCATTCGCCTTAGTTACTAGGAGCCTCGACCACCCTACCTCCGGCATGGGAGACAATTATATATTTATATAAATGTGTGTAAATCACGAAAATTAACGTGATGAAAAATGTGACAGTGTCAGGCCACGGAGGAAGAATTGAAACAGGAATTTCCTTAAGTACTTTCGTATTTAATAATACATCTTCAGAAGGGTGAGTTACAAGTACACAGATTTGGACATATATAGGCAGGAGAGAGGTGAAGTTAGGAAGTGAAGAATTCCCACTTAACAGTTCCACTTAAGAGCTCCACTTAAGATATTGAACGTCTCCCCTGGTGAGGGTCCTCACACTAAAGTTTTTCCCGTTGTCTGGTCCAACAGAGCCCGGGACACCCACCAACGGCACGGTCAACGGGTCGCGCCCCACCGTCGACTCTCTCCTCGATGAACTCAACAGTGTCGACACCAATCAGTGAGTACCCTGCTCGTCGTTACCTGTTTGTCATTACCTGTTTGTCATTACCTGTTTGCCATTACCTGTTTGTCATTACCTGTTTGTCATTACCAGTTTATTGTTATCGTTTTGTCATTACCTGTTTGTGGCCATCTGTTTGTCATTACCTGTTTGTGGCCATCTGTTTGTCATTACCTGTTTGTCATTACCTGTTTGCCATTACCTGTTTGTCATTACCTGTTTGTCATTACCAGTTTATTGTTATCGTTTTCTCATTACCTGTTTGTGGCCATCTGTTTGTCATTACCTGTTTGTGGCTATCTGTTTGTCATTACCTGTTTGTGGCTATCTGTTTGTCATTACCTGTTTGAGGTTAACTCTTTGTGACTGACTTTTTGTCATAGTGCTATTTTTCTGTTAGTAATTACAAATGTTTGTGTACTCGTCTAATTGTGCTTGCGGGGGTTGAGTTTTAGCTCTTTGGTCCCGCCTTTCGACCAGTCAGTCAACTGGTGTACAGCTTCCTCAGCCTATTGTGATCTATCATTTCTACATTTGAAACTGTTTATGGAGTCAGCCTCCAACACATCACTTGCGAGTGCATTTCATTTCTTAACTACTGACACGGAAAAAAATCTTTGCAAGGTCTCTGTGGCTCATTTGAGTAATTACTTTCCACCCGTGTTATATAGTTTGTCTTTATTAACCGTATAAATTCCCATGAGATTTTTGATGTGGTAATCATGTCTTTCCCCCGCACTCTTTTGTCTTTCAGCGAGGTGAGGTGCAATTCACGCAGCCTTTCCTGGTAACTCATGCCTTGTGGGACTCGTCGGGGGTGTAGTGGGTCAAGGGTGTACCCTTCTTGGCTATTAATAATGTTAATCAACTTGTCCTCAGGGAGGAAATCCCAAGGAAGTAATGGATTCAAAACTATTTGAATTAGTGCTATTTGAATAGCACTAAATTAGTGCTATTGTCTACTCTCTATCCGTGGTTAAGTTAAGGTTAGGGTTTTATTATGTTTGGTTATATTAATATGCTGCAATAGTGTCCCAAATGTGAAATATGGAATTCGAAAGCTATATAAGTTAACCCTTGAATTCCATTTATAGAAAACCAAATTCTTCAGACCGTTTCAAAGAAAACGTGTATAACTTATACTTTTTGCATTTTAAACCATAAACTTATAACGCAATAAAGTTATAACCTGAGAATATTCTGTTTAGCACAAAGGTTTACTTGCCAGTTTACAGGTAGACTTATTGGAAGATGGGGGCCAGGAACAACACACGTGACTAGGGGGGGGGGGGAGGGGCAGGAGGAACATTTGTGCCTGTTTGGCGATTTGTAATGTTCAGTTGGGCGATTTATAGCCTTGGGGGATTTGTAGTTTCTATTCTGGGAGTAGAGGAACTCCCGAAACCTTCTTCAGGTGTGTTCCAGGTATGTAGTTTTGCTGGGCCATTTTTTTGGGGGGGGGGGAGTGGGGGAAGGGGGGAGGGGTGACGTGTAGTTTTGTTGTATTTTTTGCGGTGTCTAGTGTTTGTTTTGGAGATTTGTACTTTTGTGTTTTTATAGTTTTGTTGTTTTTAGTCAAGAGATTTTTCATTTTTTTTTTTGGGGGGGGGTGCGTTTTTTGTTTTGTTTTTGTATTTATGTATAACGAGTAGTTATTTGTGTTTTGTATTAAGAGTAGTTTTTGTGTTTTGTAGTTTTTGTTGGGCATTTTGCAGTTTATTGTTGTGGTGATGTCATACCCGCACACACCTGTGTCTCCCTCACCCCCCCCTTACCTCCCCTCACCCCCCCACCCTATACTTAATCTAGCGACCTCATCTCACCTCGCAAGTATTAGTCATTTCTCAAATATTTGGTGTACCTGCAAGTTGGGCGGCGGCCTCGTCTCTTAGTTGGCCGCCCGCCTCCTGCCTCGCCGCCTGACCTCTTACCTTTTTGTCCTCATCTGTCTTCTTGTCCTCATTTCGCCTCACTTCCTCCTCCGCCTTCATCGCCTCCTCCTCCTCTTTATTGTCATACTGTCAACCTCCGCAAGCACAATTATGTGAGTAAAGGTGCATCAGGGCTCACAGAGACTCGTCTGGGGCTCACAGAGACTCGTCTGGGGGCTCACAGAGACTCGTTGGGCACAGATATATCGCCCTCATCAGGACGTACGCGCACGCACGCAGACAAGCAGATCGCATTTAATGGTGATACAAGTTGTCAGAGTGAGCGCGGATGTCCTGTTGGTCCCCCACACAGGGACGTGTGGCGGGCGGGTGTCGAGACACCACCAGCCAGGCGGGTCGATGGCCGCCCCGCTACCATGAATGTCCACAACACTACGAGCAACAGCTCATTCCTGGACCACCGCCACACTTGTTGGTCATTCCTGAACCACCATATGGGTCATGAATGTTCCTTATTCTTGAACCCCCCCCCCCACCACACACGCACACTCACACTCACTGTGTTTCCAAAGGACTACCATATAGTAAGGAAAGAGAGGGTAGGGAGAGGAGGTGGAGGAGTGGCCCTGCTGATAAGGAAGGACTGGGGCTTTGAAGAGATGGAAATTCCGGGCTGTGACGGGTTCAGAGATTACATAACAGGAACTATAACAATGGGTGGACCTAAGATAATAGTTGCAGTCATTTACAACCCTCCCCTAAATAACGAAAGACCCAGACAGGAATTTGATAGGAACAACATGGTAACCATTAATATAATAGAGAAAGCAGCTTCACTTGACTGCAGGAATGGTTCCAGACTCTTAATCATGAGCGATTTCAACCATGGAAAGGTAGACTGGGAGAATGAGGACCCACATGGAGGGGAAGATACAGGGAGAGCTAAACTCTTGGAAGTGACAACAAGGAACTCTCTGAGCCAACATGTCAGGGGATCCCCAAGAAAGAGAGGCAATGACGAACCAGCTAGACTCGACCTGATATTCACATTAAATGAGTCAGAAATAAGGGCAGTCAAATTTGAAGCCCCATAGGAATGAGTGACCACAGTGTATTGACATTTGAGTATCTGGTGGCGGTAGGGATAACCTATTAAAGGATGGAATCAGAAGAGAAAAGACTAAATTACCGAAGAGGAAAATATGACGAGATGAGGAACTTCCTAAGGGGGTATACCATGGGAAACGGAACTCGGAGAGAAGACTGTACAGGACGTGATGCACAATGTCACCCAGAAGTGCCAGGAAACTGCAGTCAGGTTTATCCCGACCCAAAAGGAGAAAAGCTAAAAACAACAGAAGAATCCATGGTTCAACCAGAAAGGTAAGGTAGCGAAGCAGTTGAGTAAAAGCACATGGAGAAACTGCAGGAATAACAGAACACCAGAGAGCAGGGAGATATACCAGAGGGCAATAAATGAGTACCTCAGAGTGAGGAGAGACATTATGAAAATGACTTCGCGAGTAAAGCCAAGACCCAACCAAAACTGCTTTACAGCCACATCAGGAGGAAAACAGCGGTGAAGCCACAAGTGATGAAACTGAGAAAAGGGGAGAATACATACACAGAATGACAAGGAGGTGTGTGTGAAGAACTCAACAGGAGATTCCAGGAGGTCTTCACTAAAGAACATGGAGAAGCCCCTGCATTTAATGAGGAGGCAAACCAAGCAACCTTGGAGGAATTTTACCTCACCAGTGACGAGGTCAAAAGGAATCTGTTGGAGCTGAATGTGACAAAGGCTTTTGGGCCTGACAGAATTTCACTGTGGATACTAAAAGAAGGTGCAGAAACACTAAATGTGCCACTCTCTATGGTGTTTAACAGGTCACTGGAAACAGAAGACCTACCGGAAAGCTGGAAGACAGCTAATGTAGTTCCAATATACAAAATGGGTGACAGGCAAGATGAACTGAACTACAGACCAGTTTCTGTAACTTGTATACCATGCAAGGTGATGGAGAAGATCGTGAGGAAAAGGTTCGTAGAGCATCTGGAGGGAAATAGCTTTGTAACACACCACCAACATGGGTTCAGAGATGATAAATTGTGCCTCACTGGTTTAATAGAATTCTATGACCAGGCAAGAAAGAGAAGGGTGGGCAGACTGCATTTTCTTGGACTGTCAGAAAGCTTTCAACACAGTACCCCATAAAAGGCTGTTATAAAAGTTAGAGCAACAGGCAGGAGTAAAGGGTAAGGTGCTCCCAGTGGATAAGGGAGTATCTAAGCAACAGGAAACAGCGAGAAACTGTGAGGGGGAGAGACATCGGAGAGGCGAGATGTCATCCACAGGGCTCAGTACTTGGACCCATCCTGTTTCTTATATATGTAAACGATCTTCCAAAGGTTATAGACTTATTCCTCTCAATGTTTGTTGATGATTCAAAAATTATGAGAAGAATCAAGACAGATAATGATAGAGACTACAGAACGACCTGGACAAACTGGAGGAATGGTCTAGAAAATGGCTACTAAAGTTCAATTCAGGAAAGTGTAAAGTAATGAAATTAGGCGAAGGGAGCAAAAGGCTGAACACAAGGTACCATCTGGGAGGTGAAATCCTGCAAGAGTCTAATAGAGAGAAAGATCTGGGGGGTTGATATCACACCGAACCTGTCCCCAGAGGCCCACATCAAAAGGATATCATCACCGGCATATGATAGGTTGGCCAACATAAGAACTGCCTTTACAAACTTGTGTAGGGAGTCGTTCAGGACCCTGTATGCCATTTATGTCGGACCAATCCTGGAACATGCAGGTCCAGCCTGTATTCCGTACCTAAATTTAAATTTTGCCCCGAGGGGCGAGTTTATTGGGCAGCGCCACTCATCTTGTGAGTGGACACACCGCCATAGCAGCATGTACAACACTCCCCAATAGGAAGAAAACCCGCTGGGTTGTTCATCCTGTCACTTGTACCCAGACACAGCTGGGACTTGCTTAACTGTCTCAAGTGAACAGCTCCTCAAACAAGAAGATTAACATCTATCAACCCTTAAAAGCTTACGTTATCTTGCGGGTGCAAAATGGGGAAATCTTTTA